AGGCGGGTCTCGAACCCGCGGGTTCAGGCAATCCACTCACCTCAGCCTCCCAAAGGCGCGGGATTACAGACTGAGCCACTGAGCCTGGCTCCTTTTTATAGTATTAGGTTGTTCATTCATCTGGCAAATATTCATGGAACTCCTACTATATGTGAATTTAGCAGTGAGCAAAACAAAAATCTCTGCTTTCACATGCAAAGAAAAATTTTTTAAACTTAATATATAAAATAAGTAACATGGAATGATAAGAGTAATAAAGTAGGAAAGGAAAGTTGACAGTGCTTTGGAGGGAGTGTGTGTGTGTGTGTGTTGGGGTCTCACTCTGTCACTCAGACTGCAGTGCAGTGGTGCAAGCACGGCTCACTGTGTAGCTTAAACCTCCTAGACTCAAGTGATTCTCCCACCTCAGCCTCCAGAGTAGCTGGTAATACAAGCATGCACCACCATACCTGGCTAACTTTTTTATTTTTTTGTAGACACGAGGTTTCACTATGTTACCTAGACTGGTCCCGAACTCCTGGACCCTGCTTTGGTCTCCCAAAGTGCTGGGTTTACAGGCATGAGCCACTGCACCCATCCATGAGGGAGGATTTTAATTTTGAAATCTTACTACCTTCTTTTATTACATTTACCCTTATATATAATCTCAAGGTTCCCATTTCTATGCTAAGCCTGTGTCATTACATTTTCAGGTAAATTATAGACTAGAAGAGAAAAGATCTCAGAACTAATTACAGGGTAAAGGAATTTATGACTATGTATAAATGATTGATCAACTGCTAGGGAGAATTTAATATGTTGTTTATAAAACCGAAGCGTACAGACAGTCTTTGGTATTTCAGCAACTTTGATCATCATTGGTAAAATTATGCTCAGAAAATGAAGTTTAATAATGCAAAAAATATATTAATTACTTAACCAGACCAGGAATTTGTGGACTTCATGGTAACTTTCTGAAGCAAAGCTCATTTCCCTATTTTGAAAATAAAATTAAGCCGGGCTCGGTGGCTCAGCCTGTAATCCCGCGCCTTTGGGAGGCCGAGGTGAGTGGATTGCCTGAGCCTGCGGGTTCGAGACCTGCCTGGGCAACTTGGCGAGACCTCATCTCTACAATAAATAAAAAAAATCAGCTGGGCATGGTAGTGCACGCCTTTAATTCCTGCTACTTGGAAGGTTGAGGTGGAAGGATCGCCGGAGCCCAGCAAGTCAAGGCTGCGGTGGCCGGGAGTGGCCACTGCACTCCAGTCTGGGTGACAGAGTGAGACTCCAACTCAAAAAAAAAAAAGAAAAGAAAATTAAGCCGGGCTCAGTGGCTCAGCCTGTAATCCCACGCCTTTCAGAGGCTGAGGTGAGTGGATTGCCTGAGCCCGCAGGTTCGAGACCCACCTGGGCA